GGAGCAGATTAGAGCTGGGCTGGGAGGGGAGCTGTCCAGGGTGCTGAGCAAGGTAGGCCACAAAAGCTGCGTTAAGGCACCGTAATGCGCATTGGGGTAAGGCGCATTATGTTTAGGCACATGTAAATTCATGTATAGACATGTCCACTGCTTCCACATTTGAGCACCATTCTAGATCTGGGAGAACGGCAAATTTTTTTCCAGTTCTGTGCCTTACCAAAAAAAAATAGAGGCTGAGAAGAAATCAGTTTGGAACAAACTAAAATCGAATTGATTAAAAATAATCCTGGTCTCTTTTAAAGGAAAATTTCATTTTAAAAAAAGTGGAAAAGTTTCATGTAAAATACGTTGAAACAAAATGTTTCACATTTCAAAATGAAGCATTATATTCTGAAAAAATCAAAACAAAATGTTTCTATGTATTTTCATTCCCCTCCATTCCATTATTTCTTCAAAAGCATTCCATACAAAGATATTAGTTTGGTTGCCAGCCATTTTTAAAAAGAAGGTATTGAGAAATTATTGGCCAGCTGTAATCCTGGGTCATATCTGGCAGATGGCCATGTGGTTTATTTCTTTCTCCCATACATACTTCACAATAAGCAGAAACCATTTCTCCCCCTACCTTCCTGTTTCTTTTCCCTCTGCATTTCATGCCACAAGATTTTTTTTTTTCTATGCAGTACCTTGTGATTGTTATTGTCAACCGCATTTCTGTTGGCTGAAAAGGCAATGGAGCTAAATCAAATAATGGTTAATAGGTAGTCACTGTCCAGTTGTCTGCCTGTTAACAATGGCACAGTGTCCTGATTCCATATACTAGTGTTTGGAGTCAACAGGGGATGGAAGTGCTCACTGACTTTGAAACTCAAGCTCCTGGTGGGGAGGAAATAGAATGGTAGTAGTTCCAGCAGTAGAGTTTTATGGTGGTGAACTGAAAACCTAACGGTGAACCTTTTTGATGTCTCATAACTGCCCACAAGAGAATTTGAGTTTTCTATTTCTTCTTTATATAAAAAATGTTTGATTCACACAACAAGAAAAAATCTATAAAAACAGGTTTTATACTGGAATTGTGAACCATCAGCTACAGTGTGATGTGCAACAAAACATCTGTGTTCCATGATGCAATCACTTACCACATGCAGGGCACATCTACAGGTTTATTAATGCACAGTGCCTACTGTGCATAAAATGTAGTACTTGTATAATCAAATACTAAATAAATGCACAGTAGGCTGCCGTAGTGCGCATTAGTGTGATTGCACACTTTATGTGTGATGCTTAATGCACAGTAAACTAATACTACTGTGCATTAAGGTATTAGCATAGTTTTTGCTGTGCACATTAATGTGCAGTAGAATTAGTCTACTGTGCATTAAACATCTTGTGTAGATGTGCCCACAGTCCAGCGATTCACATCACTGTATCACTGACTTCATCTGTAATCTAGAGATAATTGTACTTTCCTTTCTTTTGAAAAGACATTGACATCTAGAGTTTGAAAGTGCCATATAAAAAAAAATCTATTGTTATTGTCTTCTCCTTTGGGTGGCAAGCCAAACATTATGGATGCATTGTACTGTGGATTAAGAAGTGACATGTGCCTGTGACTCTCTAGGAGGAGTTAATTTAAAGTAGCAGAAAAAACAATTCTCATGTAGCAAAATGAATCACTCTCTCTTCAACGCAGTCTGCTCCAATTAACAGAATTTCCCTTCCACACTCAAGTCCACTTGAGGCAACAACTTGCCTAACTAAAGAATAATTTATCTTAAATATCTTCGTTTCCATGAAATGTCAGTGAATTTGAATGAAGGATTTTATAATGGTGTTTGGTATCAAATGGCCATAATATAATGAGACAAATGTCCCAAATGCACACAGAATGGGGTTGGCATTTGAAATTAACTGGACTTCAAGGTTTGTTCTAGCCTATTGTATTAATCTTTTCAGCCTGTCACTGAAAACTTTGTGGTGGCAGGGAGAAAAATCAGGAAAACTTTTCTTGAATTAAAGTGTTTATCAGATTCTTGTTGAGACCTGTAATACTTCAGAGTCAAGGGTTTGTCGCAGAATGGAGAGGAATTGTTGGCATTACAGGTAAATTACTCTGGCTTTTCATAATGGGAGAAATAAAAAGAGCAAATCATGAAAAGAGCATCTGCGGTATGCCTATTCAGCAGCACTGCACTAATGATACCAAGAAAATATTGAGTACTGTGTACCAGTGTAATCCTTTGATCTCTCTGAAATCCCATGTAATTTTCTTTTCAAAAACACTTATTCTTGCAAAGTGTTTTTCTGGCCTTTACAGAGGTTCAGGGTACTTAGTTACCTGTGGATCTGATATATTGAATGTAATCTTAATTGCTTTCAGTACTTTAATTAGAATATTGGTGCAATTGAAGAATTCTTACAAAAAATTACTTTCAGAGCAGACTGACAAGTCATTCTGTAGAAAATCTAACCCCCTAACCTTTTTTTCATGAAGCGCCTCCTTAATTTGGCTAAATTGAAATGATTGCAAGCAGGCAAGAATGGCTTAAGGGTATTTTTGGTAATGTAAGTATATATGTAACTGTTTTAGTTTAAATGCTTTTTTGATACCACAACAGACTGAAATGTGATTAAGCTCTTATGCAAGGAAGACTAATGCTTGAAAACTTATTGAAAGATGTAAAGAGAGACAAGAAATTGGGAGTGCTGATGTAAAAAATGTTGTGCTTGAGATAAGCCAAACTTAGAACTTTGAATCCAGAACCTTTCCACGTGGTGCCAGTGCTGACCATGGTCAGAGCTGCCATAGGGTATTACTGGTACTCCAGTCTGATTCAGTCTTGTAGATCTTACATTCCTTTATTAAATGTTAGCATTCTTTAATAAAATAACCATAGAATAAGATTCTGTTGCCCATGTAAACATGAGTTTTATGGCTTGAATGATCAGTGGGAGTAGCAAATCTCAGATATCCATTTTACCTGGAAGCTTAAGCATGTTTTAGCACACACAGCATGAATCAGATTTAGCGTACTTCCTTGAATCCAAGATAAGTCCTCCACCCACCCCCAGTCAACATGGGGGGAAAAATGCCTATTTTAGATTTGACAAATGGCCTGGGACAGGTGGTGGTTTAGTGGCAGGGTGGCTTATGTGGCTGGCGACAGGGAATGTGGGGGAGATTGCAAGTTTGGGGGAGGAGCATGAGGTTTCTTTTCAGCTCCAAATCTGGCCCCACCTTCAGGCCCAGAGCTGTCACCACTGCTTCTACCTGGCTGGGCTGGCTCAGGTCCAGCGCCAGGGCTGCAATTGCTGATTGCCCCAAAGCCAAAGCTACTGCGGAAAGTAAGCAGCAGGCAGGCGGCAGATGATAGGGGGAGCATAGAGCAGGAGGGGCAGGCAGAGGCATCAAGTACAGGCAGAAGGGGGCAAGCATGGGCACAGAGAGGGCAAGGGACAGGAGGCACATGCTATGGAGGTAAATGGCAGGGTAGATTGGAGGCAAGTGGCAGGGAGGTCAGCCATTGCGGGGAGATAGGCAGGGCAGCAGGGAGGCAGGTACAGGCACAAGGGTCAAGGAGTAGGGGGAAGGTCATATTGGGGGCAGGAGGCAGGAGGGCATACACAGTCATGGAGGGGGGCAAGGGGCAGGGGTCTGGCCCCTTGCCCTCCACTGCTATTTTCCCTGATACAGTTGTTGGGGGATGAATTTAGGATGACCCTTTAATAATTAGATTCGTACAAGGAAAGTTCAAATTAATTTATAATTCATTATAAATAGAATTTAATTATCACAGGGTCATTGTAAATGCTAAGTTGTCTTGGATTCAGGTAAATACAGAATACATAATACTGCCAAAGCTTTTTGTGACCATTGAGTCTGTAGCTTCCAACAGGACATACTTTGGGCTGAAAGGTCTCTCTGTATAATTTGTGATTAAAGAACAGGGCAACAATGAAATACACAATCTCTTCCACTTGGAAAATCTAAAACTTCATCATTTACAGCCAAGTCACCCATCCATTTGTTTTGGGGGTTCTGTTTGTTTGTTGTTTCCCTGTTCATTAATTATTTTCCTTGTGAAGTTTTGTATCTGCCTGGACCTGTGATTCAAAATAAAGTCTTACGCTAGGACTATAGACAAGGTAGGACTTGGTAGATCACCAAGTCCAGTCCATGTAGTCACAGACAACTATATAATAGACATTAAATCCAAAATCTTCCACAAAAACCTCCATTCTGGTCCCTTTTGACCCCTGTTCAGAGTGCAAGCTAGAAATACCACTTTGTCCCAGTCACTAGTTTAGAATATTTCGTACAGAAAAAAGCACTCCAAAACTACAGTGTGTCTCATGAAGAGACAAGGAAGGTTTGTTGCTGTTAAATCTAGAACAGACTCTGTAGTGTTCTCGTACAGAACATCCTGATTCAGCGCTCTCACGTCTTCTCAGCTGAATGTGTAGGCCTGTAGGGCCAGATTTTAAAATGTTTAGTTCTGGTCTAATTCAGTGGGAAAATTCTCATTGGCTTTCACTGAAGCAAAGCAAAGCTGAGAGGGAATCATATGAAATGCCATTCAAAAGTGTTAAAGGTATAAAAAAAATCCTTGCTTCATCCTGGTCAGTGGCCTAACCATCAGTGCAATAGATGGCACCTAAGCAGGAGTTTTCTTTTATAGCATATTTTTCTCCTTGCAGAAGGAATAGGAATTTGCTTATAACTATCCTTATGTCACAGGAGTATGAAGTACAGTTCTATTTCCATGGCATCTCAGGTTTTTTTGACATCAGGACTGACATGACATTTGAAAATGGGCTCTTATGTAAAGGTTCATGATTATTTAACGCTATACACTGTGGTGAGCCAGGATCCTTGTAAGAACAAATGTCAACATTTGACGATCTTCTTCCCTCCTTCTCCTCCCACCCCCATCCATACTCTCAGCACACCGCTGTTCTGTTTGATGAATGTCTTGACAGTCTGTTCTTTCCTCCTGCAGTATGGGATAAAGAAGAAGGAAGAAAGGGAAGCTGAGGCTCAGGCTGCACTGGAAGCAAATGCTGAAGGAAGTCTGACACGTCCAAAGAAGGCCATACCTCCAGGCTGTGGAGATGAAGAGGAAGAGGAAGAGGAAAGCATTCTAGACACAGTCATCAAATATCTACCTGGGCCTCTTCAAGACATGTTTAAGAAGTAATGATTGCAGACTGTCAGACTGTCATGAACAGTAAAGCAATGGATTTCTCATTGTCAAATGGGAATTTACAATCTTGCCACACACATCACGCAACCCTATCTTCCCTTCTTTTCACGCACTATAATTCCCTTCCCTGAACTCTCCAGGCCCACCCCTTCCAGATTCCATCCCATTCCTATTTTGTATATAGTCACATCCAGTAGATGCCTCTGAATGGATGTAAAGATTAATGAGCTGCAGTCTACACAACTTTTATTATAAGCCATAGTACTATGTATGTTAAATAAGGCAACTGTACATTAAGCAGAGAAAAGGAACAGTTTCACGTTTGTTTCCATCAAAAGCAGGAAGGAGCATTCACTATGAGTGAACAGTGGCTTTTTTGTTTTCTTTAATTATTATTATTATTATTATTATAATATGAGATTTGATTGGGCCACCTGGTTGTTCATTGTGGAGCGCATCTCTCATAACAAGGGATGTCTTCATACCCAATGCAACACACGTTTTCTGTTTCATTCCATAATCCTCATAAATAAGAGATAATTTGGAAATTGAACCATGTGTAATTCCTCCCTCTAACACTGTTCTTAAAGTTGTAGAAGGTCTGAGCCTTCTGCACTCATTGTTGATATTAGATATCAAAAGCCTCAGAATCTAAGCAAGAGTCATGTTGCTTTGGGAATAGCCATATAAGTACAAGTGAGACCAGATCTTAGTCTGAAAGGTGCTGTAACCAGATCTAAACCAAACTGGTTCTGTAGTATTTTGGTACAGAACATTCCAGACCAGAGGTGTGAAACACCCATGATTGAACAGATCAATTGACCAACCTTCCTCTTTTTGCAAAGTTGTGTGTACTAATGCCATACCCAGCCCTGTTTCCAGGAATTATATTTTGTCCTCAGTAAGTGTTGTAAATATGTACTGTTCCCCTTAAGGATGTGGGAGAGAGGTGTGATTTTAGAGTTGGAGAAGAGAACCAGGAGGGAGAAACTCCTGAGTTCTACTACTCTTTCTGACGCTAATTCCCCCATGACCTAGGGGAAATTACTTAATCTTTATGCCCAAGCTTCTCCAGCTGCCAATTGGAGATAATGATACTCACCTACCTCACAAGGGTGTTGTGAGGATCAGTTGGATAATGCTTGTAAGGTGCTGCTCAGGAGCTAAGTATTATTATAACACTCTGTGGCACCATTGGGTGCTTGCACTTTACTTAGTGCTGTCCTACCAATTTATTTAAAATATCAGGCTCTGATTTAGGTCTCCCAACCCAGTGTTGTAAGTACTGAAGTACTGTACTGGAACAGCCATTTCCCCAAGGAGATGCTGCCTTATATAAATGTGCACAATCTGATTTGTAACATGCTTCTCATATACCTGATCTGTTTTTTTGGAGAACTGAACTTCATGTCTTACAGCTCTGTGGTCAGAGTCAATATGGACATCTAAAGCTTCATCCTTAAAGTGGTAGCTTTGTTTGATGTTCTTTTTGTGAGATATCAATATGAATCTGAACCAGAGACCATGGAAGTTAATGGGACTCTTTCAATTGGTTTCAGTGACCTTTAGGATCAGGCCTAATGTGGATTTAGTTTGCACCAACTCTATTCACATTAGGTAGCATAGGATACTTCTCAATGGGCACATCTACATGCGACGCCACATCACGGTAACAATGTGCTACAGTGACATAGCATCTGCGGGGTTGTACACATGACCAGCAGCTACTTCACTGTAGCAATGTGCTCCCCCCTTATAGCGTGCCGCTACGGTGAAGTAGCTGCTAAAAATAACTGTGCACAGTGCGCACTGCGCTGTTACTGCTCTGTGATTTACTACTTCCAAAAGGAAGTACTAAATCATAATGCAGTAACAATGTCACCAGAGACATTGTAAGAACAGATGTAACAATGTCGCCATAGACACTTAGACGTGCCCAAATGGTCTTACTAATTTTAGTGTGTCTGATCATTGTGTGAGTGAGTGATGGAGTAGAAATAGGCACATTGTGTGAGGATTCAGCCCCCAAAATCATCCTCAGCCCAAGAGACTCTGTAGTGCACTGTATCATACTGTAGGTTCCACAAAGAAGATACCATTCTGTGGGCTTTTTTTGGCCCATCCTTGCCTTATCAATCATTTGCCTGACCTTCCTCCATTAGCTATCAGCCTGTTCTGCCACTTTTTTCCTTGGATGCTGCATTCCTAAAACATGTACAGCACTTACTGCCTTGCCCCTTCTCTTTTTTGTTATTCTGTGTTGGGTTTTTGGGGAATTTTCTTGTGGAGACTGACTGTCCCGCTTTATACCAGCTTATTGAATTCCATCATTTTTCTCAAACAAGCCATTGCCTAGTTGTACTAACATCAGTATCTCCACTACATGGTCTCCCTTCTGATCATAGTAAGCAAGTTACAAGTGGGGTTGCTTTTTAATAAATATTCCATTTGGTTTTTGAGTTGACCTATTAAGAGAATGAAATTTTGTAGAAAGGATGATAAAGTAGACCAAGGGAACAGGTCATCTAGCAAAATTCATAAAGCCTAAGAAACCATTAGAATTGTGGAGCCTTCCAGCTCAGCTCTCTCACTTGAAAATGGAATCGTTCATCAGTCCTTCTTCCACTGAAGTCAACAGGAGTTGTCTTTTTGCCACTGAGTTCAGTGGGAGCAGGTATAGGCCCAAGATATTTATGTTTAAATTATTTTGATAAAGAAACCTGATAGGAAGAATATGCGGTCTGTGAGTTACTTGTTGGCCAGTAGCTCTAAGAGGACAAGGACTGTATGCACTGACAAGATTTGCCTCAAATAACTTTTGGTATCTTGATTAAGTTATGGGCCAGAAACAAAGTCTTTTTCAAAGGGGTTCTCCACTTGCAAAGTGCCTAACACAGTTTGAACAAAGTTGAAATGGGCACATCCCCATCTTGAATCACCAACATGGTCCCCAACACCTTCAGCTAATTAACACTACAGAAAAGGGTGAGGGGAACTGGGAAAACTCCACACAAAGCACTGGTCAGATGTCAAAGCACTCAAACTAGACCAAAGAGAAACATGGTTCATTGTTTGGATTCTGAATATCTCTTTGTGTTTCCATGCCATCATTTTATTTGTATCATCAATATGTTCAATCTCAGGTAAATGAGGTCATCTGGTTTTGACTGATTTTTCATTAGACAGAAAGGTGGGCAGCTATTTGTTGCTGTCCTTTCTTCTGCACAACTCCAGGGCCTTTCTGTTTAACAAAAAAAAATCAAAAGGCCTCCACTCTTTGGAAGGCAAATAATTTAGTTTGACATTGACCTTCATGAACTTACATCTATCTTTAGAGAAAGCCATATGAAATCAGACTGCAATATTAATTATGAATGATACTCTCTGTTAAAAAAAAGAGAGACTAGATCATGTGCTAAATCACTTTGGAGTTTCTCTGTCTATGTTTCTAGTACTATTGTTAGCTTAGTCCTCCCCCTTTCCTTTGTCAAAGAAAGATCATATCAATGCTGCTGAATACATCTCTTGGACAAGCTTACTGCGCTAGCATAAATGTTGTTAGAAACCAGTTGTTGTGACCTCAATGTAATGTCCTCTGTATATGAAATGTGTCTGTATCTGTTTTATTCTGTGTTATCAAGATAATGTTTTGTGTGCTAAGTCAGTAAAATGTTTCAGTAACTGTCTTTTTAAAAATTGCTTGTTTTCACAGACACACACAAACATACCCAAAAGGTAGCACCCTTCCTAGATGGTGCATTTTCTAATAGAAATGCTCCCACACTGTCTCCAACATGCATGCAGTACCTTCCAAGCAGCCAAAAGATGATTTACAGTAGAGGTTTTGTGAATATACATTTAGTTTGTAATTTGCCTGCTACCTTTTCCTGCATGATGTGGGTAACTGATATAATGCTCTTTTAAATGGAATCACAGCCAATAAAAAAATTAAGTGATTTCATACATTTTTTGCAATGCTTTCCTGTGAAGTTCCTATTACACTGAACTGAGAAATTAAAATGCAGGGTACATATAGCTCTAAGTACAAATAAAATGACAATAAAATCATTTAGAAACATGAACTTCAATACAGACACAAGTGTGGAATTCTTCAGTTGGGCAAGACAGCATTTAGGACAGAGTTTTCCAAACAACTGGCTAAACTCTGCTCTCCTGGAGCAAGGCATGAACTGTTTATTTGTTTCAAGAGTTAAGCCAAAGCAGGACCATGTTTGAAACTCTCACCAGTTGCTGGGTAGAGGATAGAAAATAGTAGATTTACTTCAATTCAAAATAGGGCTTTTTCCCCCATTTCACATGGGTAAAAAGAAACCTTGTCTTGTGGCTCCAGCCACTACTATGACTTGGGAGGGAGGGGAGGGTCCAGGGAAGCATAGGGGAGATTGTGTGATGTGGAGAAGGGAAGTGTGGGGGAGACCACGGGGTGTATCCCTGGGGAGTGTGGAGATTGTATAGCGGAAAGGGAGCTGCTGTGACTCCAGCTCCAGCTCCAGCTCCACATGGGCTGGAACCAGGGCCAAAACTACTGCCACCATTGATGCCTGCCTGGGACTGAAGTCCCTGTGTGCTCCATGCCCTGGGCTAGTGCCAGAGCTGGAGCCAAGTCACCACATAAGGTAAGCAGCAGTATTGGGTAGCAGGCAGTATGGAGAGCAAATGGCCAGGGGTCAGTCATTGGGTGGGGGCAGGCAAGTGGTATGTGGGCAATTGGTGGGGGGACAAGAAGCAGGGTTCAGGCTGCCGGCCTCCCTGCTGCTGCTTTCCCTGTGGCAGAAGTAAGGGGGGGAGGGGGGGAATTAATTTAAGATGACCCTCCAATAATTAGATTCTATACAATTTTATAATTTTCTATGTCTAGAAACTAATTATTGGGGGGGTGTCTTAAATTCAATGTCATCTTGGATTCAGGTACTAAGATGGAAGGTGTGGAGAGTTCACTTTAGAGCTGAGTTTGGGGTTTGTGTCGTTCAGTCGTTGTTGTGTAAGAAAGTGGGGGGAAGAGAACAGTACATAACATAGAGCCTCCAAAGCCCCATGTTTTGAGAAAACCCATTCATGAATGGAAGACTGTTTGTGTTTTCTTCTCTAACACTGTCTAAAAGAAGCAAAATCCTTTTGTAAGCTTAAAAGAGCAATGT